ACATTGACGGTAGCAGTTAACTAGTCCGTGTCTGGCCTTTCACGGTAAACGCAGGGGCCAAAAAAGGGGGGGGGGAGGATTCAGTAGTCGTTTTGTCACAAGATCATGTGGGCAATTGGTGCACTTTGTTCCATAACTGCGAATAGGATCAAACTCCGCCCACTCACCGTTTGTGCGACAATCCCATCGGTGGACGAGATTCGCTCCGATTATAGACGTTCGAATTCGTGGACCATCTGGCGCTCCTTCTCGAATCGAATACTCGCATTCCGGCATCAGCATCGCTTGCTGCTCGAGCGATTCGGATGGAAGATTACTGTGATAAGGAGTACCGTAACCTGACTGTTTGGGCACGGATATGGTTTTCGACCGGTTCCACTCACCTCACTTCCATGTCTGTATTCACAGTCTTGTCGATGTAGGCGTAGAAACAACGAACATTATATGCTCGATCGACCTTTGTCATGAAATGTGGATGGAAATTCGTCACGAAAGTCAACACGTAGTTCATGCCGTGCGGTTGAAGCTGAAAGTCGGCCAACGATGATGATTTATTCACCACTTGGTGAGATATGAATTCAGCAAACCTGTCGAATACGTCGCATTCCACAATCGCCTATTCGAACTACGAAGGTTGCGCCGGCAAAATCGTTACCATAATATTCCTGACGGCAGAGATCCATACCGTAATGGCCCTTCACGTAGATATTTCCTCTGAAAACTTCGTCATGGAGTAGGAACGAAGGACAAAATACAAAGCCGTTCTGCAGAAGGCAGACTCCCCATGCTGCGAATCCATCAGTCAGGTTGATTCAAAAGATCGTATAGTGCATAGGTGAACCGTTTAGGACGATCAGTGTGAAGGGTTGACGAGATTACACTGTGGAGGGGATCCGTGGAGTGGTGCTTTAGCGCACTCCACGCTTTTTTTTTATTTTGAAGGAACACTCCCTCACTCCCGCCAATCGCGTCAATTTTCAGTGTACGAGATAGAGTAACCCACAAGTATTATACATGGGCTGTTTTCGCATCTCGAAAAGTGCCGCAATGCGCTAGGGTCTCTGGCGGAGTATTTTAACACGTTGACGACATCGCGCGTTTTGGCATTTTTGGCCGCGTGGGACCAGAGCGGTTCTGCGAGCGCCGCCGCCTCACAACAAATCTGTGGATTTTGAGCTTTAAATACGCAATACTTCGATGCGACAAAATGTTTTCACTGATATTCGGTGTGTCAAACTTATTGGAAGGTACACATGTGAAAGTGCGGTCGAATGATGTGTTACAGCATTGAAAAGGCAAGTTTCACTTACTTTTGCTTTAGTGATTTCAAAATTATTTTGGACGTGGTTGTTTCGGTAAAAACACATATCTTGCCACACGAGTAGCTTTGTACTCACTTCTAATATTCTTTTTTATCTACATGTTCGTGTTAATGAAGAGAAAATGAGGAATGAACTGAACGGATATTTTCGTCCGGTCCGAAAAACCTCTGCCAAACTAAAGAATATTTGGTCATTCTATAAGCCGCGTGGTTCTTGGTTATGTTGTGGTATGGCCTAAAAAATGAACACAAAAAACCTGGGAAGAAATGGCGCGTTCAAGAAAAAACTGAATGTAAAGGGTGTGGCAACTATAGTTGCCACAATGTCCATTGCGGCGTGCAAAACGCGGCAAACCTAGTTGCCGCGCTGTCGTCAAGGTGTTAACTATGGACGCTTT